AACCACTTGATCATCTCAATAGATGCAGAAAAAGCCTTTGATAAGATCCAACATCATTTCATGATAAAAGCTCTAAGAAAACTAGGAATAGAAGGAAAGTTCCTCAACATTATAAAAGCTATATATGACAAACCTACAGCCAGCATTATACTTAACGGAGAAAAACTAAAACCATTCCCTCTAAAATCAGGAACCAGACAAGGATGCCCACTATCTCCACTCCTATTCAACATAGTACTGGAATTCCTAGCCAGAGCAATTAGGCAAGAAGAAGGAATAAAAGGAATACAAATAGGTAAAGAAACTGTCAAAATATCCCTATTTGCAGACGACATGATCCTATACCTTAAAGACCCAAAAAACTCTACTCAGAAGCTTCTAGACATCATCAATAGCTATAGCAAGGTAGCAGGATATAAAATCAACATAGAAAAATCATTAGCATTTCTATACACTAACAATGAGCAAACGGAAAAAGAATGTATGAAAACAATTCCATTTACAATAGCCTCAAAAAAATCAAATACCTAGGTGTAAACCTAACAAAAGATGTGAAAGACCTCTACAAGGAAAACTATACACTTCTGAAGAAAGAGATTGAGGAAGACTATAGAAAGTGGAGAGATCTCCCATGCTCATGGATTGGTAGAATCAACATAGTAAAAATGTCGATACTCCCAAAAGTAATCTACATGTTTAATGCAATTCCCATCAAAATTCCAATGACATTCATTAAAGAGATTGAAAAATCTACTGTTAAATTTATATGGAAACACAAGAGGCCACGAATAGCCAAGGCAATACTCAGTCAAAAGAACAATGCAGGAGGTATCACAATACCTGACTTCAAACTATATTACAAAGCAATAACAAAAAAACAGCATGGTACTGGCACAAAAACAGACATGAAGACCAGTGGAACAGAATAGAGGATCCAGATATGAAGCCACACAACTATAAGCAACTTATCTTTGACAAAGGAGCTAAAAATATACGATGGAAAATAGCAGCCTCTTCAACAAAAACTGCTGGGAAAACTGGTTAGCAGTCTGCAAAAAACTGAAACTAGATCCATGTATATCACCCTATACCAAGATTAACTCAAAATGGATCAAGGATCTTAATATCAGACCCCAAACTTAAGTTGATACAAGAAAGAGTAGGAAATACTCTGGAGTTAGTAGGTATAGGTAAGAACTTTCTCAATGAAACCCCAGCAGCACAGCAACTAAGAGATAGCATAGATAAATGGGACCTCATAAAACTAAAAAGCTTCTGTTCATCAAAAGAAATGGTCTCTAAACTGAAGAGAACACCCACAGAGTGGGAGAAAATATTGGCCAACTATACATCAGACAAAGGACTGATAACCAGAATATACAGGGAACTTAAAAAACTAAATTCTCCCAAAACTAATGAACCAATAAAGAAATGGGCAAGTGAACTAAACAGAACTTTCTCAAAAGAAGAAATTCAAATGGCCAGAAAACACATGAAAAAATGCTCACCATCTCTAGCAATAAAGGAAATGCAAATTAAAACCACACTAAGATTCCACCTCACCCCTGTTAGAATAGCCATCATCAGCAACACCACCAACAACAGGTGTTGGCGAGGATGCGGGGAAAAAGGAACCCTCTTACACTGTTGGTGGGAATGTAGACTAGTACAACCACTCTGGAAAAAAATTTGGAGGCTACTTAAAAAGCTGGACATCGATCTACCATTTGATCCAGCAATACCACTCTTGGGGATATACCCAAAAGACTGTTACTCCAGAGGCACCTGCACATCCATGTTTATTGCGGCACTATTCACAATAGCCAAGTTATGGAAACAGCCAAGATGCCCCAGCACTGACGAATGGATTAAGAAAATGTGGTATCTATACACAATGGAATTTTATGCAGCCATGAAGAAGAACGAAATGTTATCATTCGCTGGTAAATGGATGGAATTGGAGAACATCATTCTGAGTGAGGTTAGCCTGGCCAAAAGACCAAAAATCGTATGTTCTCCCTCATATGTGGACATTAGATCAAGGGCAAACACAACAAGGGGATTGGACTTTGAGCACATGATAAAAGCGAGAGCACACAAGGGAGGGGTGAGGATAGGTAAGACACCTAAAAAACTAGCTAGCATTTGTTGCCCTTAATGCAGAGAAACTAAAGCAGATACCTTAAAGCAACTGAGGCCAATAGGAAAAGGAGACCAGGAACTAGAGAAAAGGTTAGATTAAAAAGAATTAACCTAGAAGGTAACACCCATGCACAGGAAATCAATGTGAGTTAATGCCCTGTATAGCTATCCTTATCTCAACCAGCAAAACCCCTTGTTCCTTCCTATTATTGCTTATACTCTCTCTACAACAAAATTAGAGATAAGGGCAAAATAGTTTCTGCTGGGTATTGAGGGGGGAGGAGGGGTGGAGTGGGTGGTAAGGGAGGGGGTGGGGGCAGGGGAGAGAAATAAACCAAGCCTTGTATGCACATATGAATAATAAAAGAAAAATGAAAAAAAAAAAAAAGAGGATTTCATAGAGTTGGACCACGTAACAAACGAAAAAGAGAAAATCAGTAAGAATGACGTTGACATCAGTGCTTCAAAAGGAGATAATATGCTTTCAAGGGACTAAAAGAGGACCTTGGGAAAACTGGATAAAGCCCTTCAGTTCTTTTGTAAATATGACCCTGCTGTAAAAATCGAATGCAGGCCTGGCAAGGTGGCAGATGCTCTTAACCTCAGTACTTGGGAGTTTGAGTCAAGAGATTCATGAGTTCAAGGTCAGCCTGGGCTACATTGGAAGACCCTGTCTTGAAAATTCAAAAAAGGATAAAATACAGATGAAGGTTTATGAGTTCCAAATTAACACTTGATTGATCAGAATTAGCACATTGTTGCAATTAATAATCTAAAATGTGTTAAAATTCACTTTAGTAATTTTTGGTTGACTTCTTTTCAAGATAAAGCTCCAATCAGATATTTTTCTTTCAGGAATCCATGTCTTCATTTTAGATAGATTCATACTAAGAGGACCTTTTCTATTACCAACTTGCTTGGGAAAAGGAAGACCTATTGCATTCACTACTATTCGTCCTAGGAATACAATATTTTAAGAATCCCCCATGAAATTGGACAAAAAAATTCAGGCTCTAGGGTCCTGTAGATTCTCCAAGCCAAACAGAAAACGGGAGTTTAAAAATTCCCCATTTTTAACATTTATCCTAAATGATCCTTCTGATAACCAGGAAAGTATAGGAACAGTCATCTTCACTCACTCATCCAAAGACTTTGCTTTGATAAAAGGTCTACCCCTTCCCAATCTTTTTGTTTGTTTTCTTTATTTTTGGTGGGACTGGGGTTTGAACTCAAGGCTTTGCACTTGCAAAGCAGGCACTCTACCACCTGAGCCACATCTCCAGATCTCCCCAATCTTTTTTAACCTTGTCAGTTGGCTTGTACTTGCTATACTCCTTTCATTATTCTTTTTATTGTTTTTACCTTTCTCTTCTTATATCATATCCAAAATTTTATCTATGTAGTCTTTAGAATTTTACATCCTTCTTCTGCTTTTCAAATTGTTTTATTTTCTTAGTAATTCCAAAGCACCTCTGAGCAAACCAGAACTTCCTTTTCTTTTTGTGCTTTTTTAAAAATTGAACAAGTGATTTGTCTGAAATTTCTTTCTTTCTTTCTTTTTTTTAACATTCCTTTAGGCTGCATCCTCATGAGTCCATTTTGCTTTCTACTCAATTGGACATTGAAGTACTTTACAAATATTATCCTGCTCTGCCAATTCTTTCTGTATTGCCTGATTGTCAGCAACTGGAAGACAAAAACTCCAGCTTTTATTTCTTCTGTATTTTCCCCACTAGAAGATTGACTAAGACTGACTAATGTATAGAATGCTTCATGCAGTGAGTGATTAATAAATATTTTAAAACAGTATTAAAATGCTTAATAGATTTGACAGCAGTGGTGCTCCTCATCACTCTAGTGTCAATACTTTCCAGGTCCCTTCTCTGCCTGGCAACCATTTCCCCACATATCTGCATGATCCCAGGTGGTTCAGCCAAGCCGAAGCTCTCTTTTGATACAGCTTTCCTTGCCTGAGTTATGGAAATTGTCTACCTTTCTTTCCTGAAGGAGTATTTTTTGGTACCCAAAGACCCTGCTGTGTATCTTGAAGTTGCTTTTCCCCTTGGTGGTGGTGAGGGGGAAGGAGAAGGACGGCAGGGATGCAGAAAATTACATTTTGTGTTGCCTTAGTTTTCTTCCTAAATCACCTTCTTAGTAAGATACAGTGCCCCACTGTATACTTTCATATCTGTAAGGATGTTTTTCATTTTTAGCACCTGTAGAGTGCTAAGGATTATAGGCAAGAAGCTTTAACATTTTAACGAAGATACTGTTTCTTCAATGAGTTTTATTCAAGGCTATTTTTTTGACCTATGACAGACAACATCATCTTCTATTAAACATTATTTCATGCCCATGAAAAACAAGCTTATACTTATGTTGCATGGGCCTAACATGGTAACAGACAGGAAAACTTACTCTCTTTTCTGGCGGGTAGGAAATTATGCTCTGCAAAGCACTTTGACACCTACTTATTCGTTTATTTAAGCCTCACAATTTTACCAGGTGTACAGAATAGGGGCCATTTAAGTTTGGATAGACCCACCTGAAAACGAGGACTTCGAAAGCCACAGCCAGTCCTGTTGCCCGGTCTCAGACAGTCTCACATAGATTAACCTCACAAAACCAGCTCTGCTAGGTGGCAGCAGCCAAAAGACAGGTGAGTGGGCGGGGCAGGGGAAGAGGAGGCTAGGACAACACACTGCGCATGCGCAGAAAGAAGGTTGGTTAGGCGCCTTGTGCAGAGGCTGGGAAGGGGCGGGGTTTATTACGCTCCACCTCTCCTCGCTAACGCGCAGGTGCACTTCCTGAGGTGGAAGGTCATTCTCATGAGGGCGGGCCTCAGAGCCGCGCAGGCTCAGTTGCGCGCCGGGAAGCCAAGATGTCGTTCCGAAAGTATAAGCCGGCGGACCTGGCAACTCTGCCCAGTACCCTCGACCCAGCTCAGTACGACGTATCTCCGGAGACCCGGAAGGCGCAAGCCGAGCGGCTGGCCATAAGAGCCCGACTGAAACGCGAGTATCTCCTTCAGTACAACAACCCCAACCGCCGAGGGCACATCGTGAGTGGGCTGCGGGGCGGGGCTCTGGGGCCGGGGTCTGGGCGGCCCCATCGGAGTCACCCAGAGCCATCGAGGGGGCCGCGCGGGGGCGGCGCGGTTTCGGGCCACTCGTTAGCCCTTTGACCTTGGCCAGTGAGAGTGTGTTTGCCTTAGAAGAGTTTCGGGGTTCAGACCTGCCTGGCTTTTGAGCCCTGGCTTGACCACCTCCCACCTGGGTGATCTTGAGAAAGTTGCTTAACTCTGCTTAGCCTCGGTTTTCCTTCTGAAAAATGGTTATCGTATGGTACTTCCTGTCTTAGGAGGCTGTTGTGTGGATTAAATGACACGCGTGACTAGTTTTATCATAGGGTCTGCCTTTAAGGGCCCCACTCCCACCCCCCCAAATTATTTATACCTTTATAAAAGCTGTTTATAACTTTAAGTTCACAATTGGCAGGGATACTACTCTCTCCCAATGGGAATATTGTAATTCTTCAGTCCTTTTTTTGTTTTTAATTAAAGACCCCGCAGCTTACTGAAGCTTTGAACTTTGAGGATCAAAAGGCATTATATACTAGCAAACTATGACCTTGGACAACTTATTTCCAAATAAAGTTGATTAATTTTTACATGAAAATTATGTACATTCTTTATAGAAATGTAAAATTAAATGTGATAGTATAGGTGTCCCCTGCAGAAAATATATGCCCAGTGAATTGTTAGTTATTATTTAAAAAGTGTACTTGTTAGTTAGTTTTCTGTGCACTGGCTGTGTACATACTTCACATAAGATTTAAAAAAAGACTTCCCAACAGTGCATTGGTATTCCTAAGGATTTTGGAAAGTTGTAAGGATTTAAGGAAAGTTACAATGTGCCAGACATTGTGCTAACCTTTTTTTTTTTAAACAGGGTCTCTGGGTAGCCCAAGCTGGTGTCCACCTCTTGGTCCTGTGCACTAGCTGCCTCCACTTCCTGAGTGCCGGGATTACAGTCATGTACCACCATGCGTGGTGCGAGTATTTTTTTTATTCAAATGTCACAACTACTTAAAGAACTATGTCCTATTATTCTCATTTTGTAGATAAGAAGATAACATGGGAAGAACAGATAGCTTATGCAGATGTATCCACTAGCAAGTCATAGAGATGTATTTGAGACCTGGTCTGTATAACCCCCAGCATCTTTTACTTAGTTGTCTGTACTGTCTTCAACCAGAACTTTGTTACTTGGAAGAAGGTGCAGAAAGACACATCTATTATTATATGTATATATGTGAACCGAAAGGTATAAAACAGCTTTTAAACAACAGTAACAAAAAACCCAACAAAGCAAACAGAAGAGATCAATGTGGCTAAGGTAGAGAAGGTGAGAGCAGAGTGGAAAAAATGAAGTCGGAAAGGGGACTGATTACAACAGGCCTTGTAGGTCATTGTAAGACTTTTCCTGGGAAGGGAGTCACATAATCTGTATTAATGTTAGCAAGACCTCTTTAGTTGTTACTTGAGAATTAAACGTGGGGGAGCAAGGGAAGAAGAGAAATGAGTTAAGGCTTTACAAGCAATTGATCCTTGATAGTTTGCTACTGTGGTGGTGACAGTGGAGTTGTGTGAGGGGTCAGTTCTGGACTCTTAAAAGTAGAGCCATCCAGGTTTCTGGCAGATGCATATGGTGTATAAGAGAAAGAAAAATCAATGGTGACTTCAGAGTTGTTGACCTAAGCAATTGGAAGAATGAAGTTGCTTTTTCCTAAGATAGGGAAGAATTATACCTCTAGGGATAGAGGTTGTCTATCATCTCATAGATAGATATTTGAAGTCATGTGACTTGATGACATCATGAATGGAGTGAATGTACATAGTAAAGACCAGCAAGGTCTACGCTCCAATATTAAGAAATGGAAGAGATAGGAAAAAGGCAAAAGAGATAAAGAGAGAATGGCCAGAGAATTAGAAAAACCAAGCAATTGTAGGATCAGAAGGTCAAACAAAGAAACTATTTCAAGGACTATTCTCCATGTCAAATGCTTTTGTTAGTTGGTTGGACATTGAGTGGTATCATAGAAGGAAAACTTTTTTAGGGTAGTCCGTTGGAACATCTCTTAATTTCTCTTAACAGTACTACATTTAATGAACCATAGTCATAGGGCTGTTGGCATTTTAATTAAATGAAATGTCTGTTTCTAGAAGACATATCTGGCAGATATTAAGGTTTAGAGAGGTTATATGGTGTATGTGGTGTGATAATAGTTTCTAGAGCTGCAGAAGTATTCCAGTACTTTTGAGTCTGGTAGTGAATGCTCACACCCTTGACTCAATGAAGGTAAAATGGTTATAATTTTTTGGTTTGAAATGTAACTATTGAAGGCCTAGTTAAATTATTTTAATCCTACCAGGTCATGACTTTTTGATGTTGGTTAGGATGTTGAATGTTCATGCTGTATATTAAAGTGTAAAGTGGACCTTATTTTGCTTATTATTTAATTTATCAGTTATTTGGAGAATTTTATAAAAGTCTTTGGGATTTAGTTAACTAAATTTAATTTGTTGTTTTGTATACACTTTTGCTTTCTAGAAAGATTCTAGCATATTGGCAAATTTTTTTCTTAACCAAGATAAGCGATTGTTTTTTAACAACTTTGACCTTTTCTACAAAACTTTTAATAGTGTGAAATGTGCTAATTTTGCTTTTAAAATACTGGCCAAGTCAGCTTTTAAAATTTACAGTTCAGGGGTAGGGGAAGAGCTCAATGGTAGAGGGCATGCCTTGCATGCATAAACAAGGCTATGGGTTTAATGCCCAGCACCAAAACAAAAACTTACAGTTCAGAGTTAGCACATCTGCAGCTTACTTGTAGCCTGCATCAACCAATGCTGGGATAGCATTAAAAAGGGTCCTAGAAATAAATACAAGCTTAGTAGAGAATATAAAATATGTTTGTCTTCATTGGGTTTACTGTGTGGTTCTGATGGTAACAGTTCAAGAACGATAAGGAAAGTAAAAGGCATCTAGAGAGGAATAGATAAAAATGATAAAGGAGAAAATGTGGCTTTTCTGACCTTTAAAAGATTAGGATTTTTAAATGGAAACAGGAAATAATGTTGAAGGTGCATGACTAAAGGGGACATTTAAATGGCCAATAAAAGGTGCATGAAGTTACCAGGAAAATGTGAATAAAAATCATAATGAGATACCACTTAACTGGAACAAAACTGCAAAGGACAAATGATAACTGTATTTTGCATAGAAAATGAGGCAACTAGAAACCATCTTTAAAATGATGTGAATTGGGCTGGTGGAGTGGCTCAAGTGGTAGAGTGCCTGCCTAGCATGCATGAGGCCCTGAGTTCAAATCCCAGTACCACCAAAAAAAAAATTAAAATGATGTGAATTAAGTTGTTAAAACAACTTGGAAAATTAAAAAAAAGATTAGAGTTCTTAAGCTCTAAATAAAAAGCTAAGGGTGACAAAAGAATCTTTTAAAATTCTGAAGATTTGAACAGGATTATCAGAATTATTGTTAAGAATACTAAAAAAAGGAGAGATTTCCCTGAAACTAGAAATATTCAGTTGTAGAGAACAAAAGCATCTCCTGGCTCCTTCATAAAAGTCTGATGAATTTGTTTCTTAATATATGCCTTCTTAAGTTCTGCAGCTTTTTGTTTTCTTTAATTTTAGGAAGATCCTGCCTTGATTCGTTGACCTATGCAAGATCAGCAAACATCTATCCGAATTTCAGACCCACTCCAAGAACTCACTCCTGGGGTTTTGTTTTGGAATTGGACCCTTGTCCTTTTTGTATTATGTTTTCAAAACTGATAGGGTAAGTATAGACCTGATGTTAGCATTGGTGTGATAGATCCCCCTTAGAGTGCCAGCTGCAGTCTTTCTTTTGTGATGGCCACCAGTGCCCCTCCCACCTTAACCCTAAACTCTTCCTTCCCTTTTTTTCTTCTTTTGTCTTTATTTCTGCCAGAGTTAATACAGAAAGTTCTCAGTTATATGTTTGGTTTTACTGTATTGTTTCAATTTGTATAGAAATATAAAATCCTGTAGCCTTTTGGTCTTTCACATTTAATTTAATGGCTGCTCTACATTTAAAGTAATAAAACAATCAGCTTAAAAATCTAAGACTAGAGCTTAGTTCATGGAAGAGTTTCCAATGTGTTTTTTAAGATAATATAAGGAAATTATATTGTTGATTTCTAAGCAAAGAATAAGGTTACTTTTTATCTCAAAAGATGGTATAGAAACTAAACTTTTGGGCTGGCTGAGTGGCTCAGTGTAGAACACGCTTCCTGGCAAGTGGGAGCCCTGAGTTCAAGCCCCAGAACTGCAAAAAGAAACAAA